ATCGATGCTCTCAAGCATCATGTCAACAGTGTGTGTTGCGCATCTAGTCCAAAAGATCCTCGGCCTCGCTTTGTATAAAAGCTCCTTTGCCGTCATATTTGCAGTTGCGTTATCTATGACAACCTAATTGACTTTTTCAACTCCAATATTCTCAATAGGCCCATTAATCCACTCAAATATATATTGCCATGTATGTGCATCATCGAAGGTCTCAATCAACTTGTAGAAAGTTGTCCCTAATCTGTAGTGGATACGAAGATTTATTGCCAATCATATCTTTTTGTCCAACCAAGCATTGGTCATAATAGTAGCCGCCGGTCTTGCCCCACTCCTCGTGCGTCTTTAAAGAGACCTTTGTTCTCTCGACAGCTCTTCGCAATAGGGGCACCCTTGACATGTACATGCTGAGAGATATGTAGCTCTATCCATAGTTTTCAATAGCAATGCATGTCTTCAGAAAGGAATCTGTGGAGATGACATGAAAGGGGATGATATTTTCATATGCCCAACTAGCTAACTGATAATGTAGCCAATCTCTCTTCTCCTTCAAGAAAGAATCTTTTACCCCGGTTTGCTTAATTTCACCTTCAACCTCCTCTAGGGAGGAGAGATGATTTTATTTTTATCTTTTTCTTCATCCCTCGGCCTCGTCGTATGGAGTTCTTTTAAGTCTATAGTGTGCCTCTCCTTAGCTTGCTTCTTATTTGAATCGATATCAATCACTTCTTTCACCTTCTGCTTATCTTTTTCATTAATCTTCAAACACGGTTTGGTGTTTCCCCTTTGCCCTGCAAGATGCTTTTTAAATCGACGGATCCCCGCATTCACCTTGTGTCCACATGGTTGGCATTGCACAATATTTAAATTTTTTGGGTCCGGACAAAATCCAAACTCCCAGCTGATGTCCCCTGAGCTCCTTCTATCTTTCACGGGGGGCACAGGGATAGTGGTGGAACTCGTAGACTCCTTCGCAGGAGCACTCGACATTCTGAATCATAACAAGTGAACAAACAAACCATTCATAAATTAAAATCAAATGATGATAAACTAAATTATTAATTATTAAATATACAATTAAACCAAATATTATTAACTATAATTTGCTGTTAGAATGTCATTTAATTAACTTAACTCACTACTTAAATTTAAGTTACCGTTAAAAGTTTTTTTTATAGCAAGTTACTGTTAAGTTTAAGTTAACAGTAACTACTTAAGTTTAAATTACTGTTAACTTAAACTTAAGTTAAACAGTAAGTGTAACTTGAACTTAAACATGTTTTTTTGGTTTTAAAAATAATTTGAACATGCTTTAGTAACTTAGTATTAAGTAAATTCTAAAAATTATATCGTAAATGAAGAAAATTAAAATCTAATAAATCCTAATGCCTAATTATTGAACAATAATTTAAGTTTAAGTTCCTTGAATCCCCAATCTGTAGTTCATCGGCTATATAATAAAAATTAAAAAAGAAGAAAAGTAAGGAAAATAAGAACTGCTTACCTTGAAGAGAGATTTGAGAGACTTTGAGGTGAATGGTCTTCGACGAGGCTTCGATAGCTTCAAAGAGGGATTAAAGAGGCTTCGACAACTTTGGCGAGGTGAAGAGTTTTCGACGGGGTGAGGGGAGCTTGGAGGAGGCTTAGACAGATTCGACGGGAGAGCTTAGAGGGGGTTTCGATGGATTTGTAAGGGGACTAGGGTTTCAGTTTTTTGGTCACGAGAGAAAATCGCAGCAGGCAACAAAGAAATGAGGTGATCTTAGGTCAGGACTGAGAATTAGGGTTTGGATGTATTGTTTAGTTAATTGGATTTGGGTTTGGGTTGAAATTGGGCTCGGATTTGGATATTTTGTAACTGTTTTTTGTTTTAACATTTTGGGTTGGAATTAAATAGGCCCATATGATTTTTTTCTTTTCTTGAAAAAGTTGGGCGGATTGCTCAAGCGGTTTGCTTACCTCTGCGCGCGCGATTAGGCACTCCCAGAGCATACATAGTGCCGCTTAGGGTGTTCTGAGACGTCCTGGGTACCGCCTCTGCCTAGGCGGGTACCTAGGGCATTTTTTAAAACACAGACTAGACACATTCAGAATGAAATCCCATGGTGTATATTATTTGCAAATGATATAGTGTTAGTCGACAAAACTAAAAGTATAATTTCTAAGGTAGAAAGATGGAGGCAAGCTCTTGAATCTAAATATTTTAGAATTAGTAGAACAAAAATAGAATACATGAAGTGCATGTTTAGTAAAACTAAGAAAAGAAAAGAGCCTATAGTACATATTGATGGTCAAGAAATACCTAAAAGTAATCATTTTCACTAATTAAGATTAATCGTTAGGCATGATAGTGAGATAGAGGATGATGTTGTACGTCGAATCAAATCGGGATGGTTGAAATGGAGAAGTGCTTCGAAAGTCGTATGTGTTTGTAAAATACCAATGAAAGTAAAGGGAAAATCCTATAGGACGTTTATTAGACCAACTATGCTTTATGAGTCCGAGTGTTGGGCAATTAAAATACAATATGTGCAAACAATGAGTGTAGTATAAATAAGAATGTTGTGATGGTCTTTTGGGTATACATTAAAAGATGGGATAAGAAATGAGTGTATCTGTAAATGAAAGAGAATAGATTAAGATGGTTTGGTCATGTACAACGGAGACCTCTTAGTGCATCGGTTAGAAAAAGTAATAATATTATAGTTAATGGGGTTAGGAGATCTAGAAGTAGACCCAAAATGACTTTGGTAGAAGTAATTAGGAAGAATATGATTATGGCTTACTTAATAAAGAAGATGACGTATAACAGAATGGAATGGAAGAGAATATGATTCACGTAGCCGACCCCAAACATTTAGGATAAAGGCTTTATTGTTGTTGTTGAATATGTGCATAATGTAGTATTCTCTTTAATAGTGAATATTTTTTGGGGGGGCACACACATCCCACATGTTGTTGCCTATCAGAATTCAGAACACTTCTCCATGCCACCCAGATGATAGATATTAGGCTACGGTCTTTGTTCCAAAACTTAATAATAAAAAGAAGAATGATAGGTATAAATAGCTTTGTGATTATAAATAGCTTTGTGAAGTCCATATATATTGTAAACTATTGTCAGACCCATAAGTTTGATGTTTTTTTACAGGTAATTTAATGTTATGTTCCCACAATACCCATGCTTGCTTATAAACAGATAAATCCTCATCTCTAGCACTCAATGTATGTGTCACCAAGCTGTACATTTTCCATGCCAACAAAACTTTTCATATATTATGTAAGGTATTCATTTTCAGCACCACCGCAAGTACAGACAATTATTTCCTGATCAACTAACAGCGAGTTCCAGATGTAGTTATGAAAGAAAACAGTGTTTCTATTTTAATTTCATCTCATTAACTAGTACTGTTATGCATTGTACTTCCTTGGAATATTATTATTGATATTCATATACATCTTAACTACTATCTTTGGTGGCCGGTGGTGGTGATGATGGTTGCCAGTTGTGAGGAAAATAAAGGAGTGGTGGTTATGATGGTGTAGAGAAATAGGGTGGAGAGAGCAGGAGAAAAAAGTGAAAGAGGAAGAGAGAGTGAAAGCAAAGGAGACGAGGTTACGGTGTTTTGTTTGACTGAAGGTTTCATGTCATCCAAGAGAGTGATTAGTGTTAGTAACTGAAGGAAGTGAGGATATGTGTGAGGTCTAATCTAAATAATTTAATAGTTAACATATATAGTTAATTAACAAATGCTAATGTGTGTGCACATATATACCATTGTTTTTATATATCCCTGATATAGCTCATATGTCGACCGATATATGCTCTTATAAGGCTTTACTGCAAAACGATATGGTCTCAATATTCATTGCCACATTTAACCAATCTTTGGGCAACGTATACCCGGCACGACCCATCTATCAGCCGATATGTTCTTTTGTATAGCTTGGTGCAAAAAATATACTTTTGCAAAATTTCTTTTATGTTTTTAGCAGAATTTTTGGCCTTGTGAAGTTTTTTAAGCAAAGTTTTAGTAGGCTCTTTTCCCTAACTAAGTTTCTATAATTGGTTAGTGATCCTAAACATATATTGTTTACATTTTTATATGCTTAGATTTTATGAAGTATGTTTAGATTACATTATAGGACATTAGATTATATACACATCATTCAGTATGGTACTCCGATATTTACTACCTCGATATATTCCCGGTATCTGCAACCCGATATGAATTTTGGCCATCTAATATATCCCTAGTATCCGATATTTTAAACCTCGATATATACTAATCAATATGGATGATGCCTGTGTGAATTTACTATTTTGCATAAATTTCGAAGTGGGGTCTCTTACTCCTGCCCCCTTACTTTGTAATCTTATATCTTGAGGATTCCAACACATACTGCAAAGTCCATTATAGCTAAAATCATCGGGCCCTACATGAGGCACTGAACACCAAACACGTCTTTCTAAAAAGTACACATAATAGCAATGACATGACAAAATGTGTCGTGTCCAAAATGGTGTTGGTTACTGTATGTTTTTTAAAACTGAATTGCCTGTGTTGTCTAGATCTGTATTTTTGTTTATCCCATCTTTTCCTATAGCGTATAATTATGTTTCCTAGTCAGTCTGTCATCTGTAATTAGTTGATACTGAGATCAAAAGTCAATGGGGGATCCATGCATGAAATCCCTAACTGAACATGTTGCTAGTGAGATGAACTTGCTTTTTGATGTAGGATAGATCTGTACTATCTAAATAGGAATCTGTATTTTACCCGGAGAATGATATGGAAGTACTGCAACAACTCAGATACTAGATACTAGAAATAAAATGCAAGCTGATACATTACATATGCTATTCTTAATGCATTTGTTGTGGGAGCCTACACTACTTGCTTTCTTGTCAAAGGTGTTCAACAAACAACCATGAATCTGATTCCATTGATGATTTTCGTCCTTTGTTTTATATACCAATAAAGGATTATCTACTTGGATAGGTATGTGAGATCCTTGAGGAAAACGCTTTGACGACAAAGAGCATGAACCAGGATGGTGAACCATGGGTGGTTGCATCTTGGTTAAGAGACCATCTACTTTTACCAAGGGAAAGACGGGATGCCAAGTTATGGAAGAAGGTAGTCTTCTCTTTTATTCCCTTGTTTCAGTTGAGTTTAGCATCCTACAGGTAATACTATTCCGGTGTACTTTGTATGTTGTTTTGTTGCAATAATTGCAAAGAAGTTTTTAACTATTTTTGTACTTCTACCATTTTTCAGTAGTTTCACGTCCATTTACATATTGAAACCACATTACCAACCCCTTTTTTTACTTACGTAAAATATCAGTGTCAATTAACCTTGCATATGCAACATTTTCCCCAAGATTTGTGCTTGACCATTGTTACTTCTATTGAGTCCTAAATTACTGACATCAAAGAGCATTGTTCCTTAACCTCTTAGGCAAAATGGAAAATAGGATATGATTGTTAAGATTACCAATATCCTATTTCAATATTATTGGCCCCTTCAATTTGAAAGGGGAATGACAATTGCAAAATGCTAAACTTACGATCAATTATTTTTTGTGCAAATGAAAAAAATGGTCCTTCGGAAAGTAGTTAAATTGAGCGTGAAGTAAAGTCATATCTACTAACCGGCCTTCTAGGATTTGTGTGAAGATATTTGATGATTCTGTTTCATTGCTCTGGAATGTTTCCCAGTGTTTCAATGTTGATGTCAGGTTAACAGCAAGTCATAAAATTTTGTCAAGTAAGCTGTTTTCTATAAAGCTAACCCTTTTCGTAGCAGAAGAATTTTAAATAATGACCATAATAAGCCAAACTATAACAGCTAACATCTCTTCCCAGCATTTGCAG